CTGTCAGTGGCTACAGGCTAGATCTGCAATAAGCTGGACTGCCTCAAGCTGTGAGTGTGAGGTGAAAGGAGAACTGCTAGCCACCCCTCTGGTCCCCCTCAAGTTCTCCCCCTTTTGTGGAGCTGAAACCCTGCAGGGCTTCATGGAGGTCTTATAAAGAGTAGGAGGCATGGGATGCTAATGAATTGCCTTCTCTCCAGCTAGGAGCTAAGGGCATAGGTTCCTCCTCCTGTTGCTTAAGTTTATTGTCTAACCAGCTACTGACATTTGTGACCTGAACAGCCCTGCTAAATGCTGGCAAGCCTACCACCTGAGCTGGTGAAATATTCAGAATAGTGGGGTTCATTATCCCAGGTCAAAGCAGGAGCAATCTGGCATCCTGTGGCCAGAAGTAGCCACTACCTGATCCATCCCAGGACCACTCAAGGATGACCAAAGCAAAGGAACCTTTTGTGTAAATTATTTCTTATTTCAGTGTTCATCTCAGAAAAACTGCAGGCTAACTCCTCTCACATCTTAAACGAATTCTCTTTCCACTGGGGGAGATCAAGCATGTGCAACTCATCTGTTTGACGTACAGTGAAAGAGAAAAACAACGTCATAGACTCACAGTGCCTATTAAAGCAATTCTCCCCGCACTCCCCCTACTCCTAATGCAATGCAAATTGGAGGCACTGGTTTATTTTTATAGCCTTAGCCCCACCTCCCCTCAAGTTAGGCAGTGCATGAAATAGACCAGCTAATTTGGACCAAGAATTTCAATTGCCTGGAAAATGAAGGTGCTGAAAACCAAATAGCATCAGCAGGAGATTTACTCCCAAATCACTGACTTGTCAGGTGCTAAACACCATCTCCTGGATGTGCTGCTGCTTTTCAGACTGTCCAAAACGAGCTGGAATTCTTTATTAATGCCAAACTCATTCTCAGGAAAGAAAAGTCAAAAGGACAAGGGGGAAAAAACCCCAGAACTCTCAGCTGAGTGGTGATGGGAAAATATTTTGTTACTGAGGTTGCATCATGGGATTTTATAGTTTGAACTTCAGTTGCTGTCTCTTCCATGGCAATTAAGGAGCTATGCTAAATGCTGGGTGGACCTTGCCAGGGAGGACTAAATAAAAAGTATGCCATTCAGTTTTGGCATCAGTGGGTGTGTCTACACGTACAATTAATCCAAAGTAATAAACTCCAGAGCATATCTGCCAGAGTTTATTGCTCCCGGCTGTACTGTTTGCATGTACACCCAGGACCACAGCACGTTGAGCTGGGTCTGAGCAGCCCTAGTTGGCAGATGGGGTCAGCCTGCCAATCTGGGGCTGCTCCCCCCAGCTCAGTGTGCTGCGGAGGAGCTGGCTGGGGCATAAGGGTGCTCCAGTGTGGGGCTAGCCAGCAGGCAGCCCCTGCACTGAAGCACCCTTGTGCCCCAGCCAGCCAGGTCAGCATCTACACGTGTTACTGCAGAGCGGCAGAATTGTACTTGTATTTACAAGTACTAACCTGCTGCAGAATTAATTAGTTTACCCCTGCCTAATAGCATGGCACATGTAGATGCTCAGATGTTTACTGTGAGCTAATTAGGCAGCTCCACATTAAAGGTCTCTTATAGACACGCCCAGTGTTTTCCTAATCTGTAACCAGCATTTCTAGTTGCCTACCGAAAAACTAGTATTTGTGGTAAGGACAATGTCTGACACCCTGGCCATGACCTAAGCTTGCTATCTTTCTTTCTGTGCTCATTAATACAACAAAGGAAACTGCATGGTACCGTGTCTTAGTTGAGTTCCACCAGTCTTCAAACCCTCCCAGCGTGGTTCCTGCTACATCCAGGCAGCTTTGTAGTATCCTGAAGTTGCCATCACAGATTCAGGCACCAAAAATGAGTGGTTCTAAGGCCAGTTCCTAGTGGAAAATGTTCAACAATAATCAAGTTCAGTTTTCATCCTAAATTACTTCTTGTCCAAACAGTCAAGGACTGACAAGATTATAGAGACCAGACCACCTGACCTGTATAAGGATATCAGTACACTACCTGCAATGGGTTCCTAGTATAGACCCAGCCCTACTAGCAAAGCTGTAGCAAGCGTGCAATCTTTCCCCTGAGTGTAACAAGCTAGAAGAGTAAAAGCCAGCATAGCTATATCAACACTACAGACTTGGACCAGCACAGCTCTGTCAATCAAGTATCACATGTCTTCACAACCCTGAGCAACATAGGTGTGCCAGCAGAAGGCTATAGTGTAGGTTAGCCTCTTCATTATAGGTAATTGCCCTAGAACAGGGTAAATGCTTATCATGGAAAGAGAGTACTATTCTGTACACATTCTGTGGATACACACATAACATTATTATTATAAGTCATGTATACACAGCTTCATAGTGTCCATGTTTAATTCTAAATGTAAAGTAAGACCTGGTTTCTGAGGGTTTTGCAGTGTGATTCCAATAAATATGATAGGGAAAACAATGCCTACGTACTAAAGTGCACAAGCAGACAAATACATTTGTAGGAGGAGGCAGAAGAGTTAAAAACAAGAGGGACCCTAACTATGCATACCCAGCATCACCAGAGCATCACTGGTTTTGTGAGGGGAAGGAAGAAAGGTTTATTATTTCTCAAACAGAGACTTGGAAGAACAAGGGAGAAAACTCGTGACACAAGGAGGAGACTGCTTTCAAATGCACAGAGTAGGGTGAAAGAAACCACAAAATTGAGAGTAGAAGGAAACACAGGCAGCATTCAAAGAAAAAAGGTTTGAGCAGGGTATGCAGCCCAACAGAGCTGAGGAAGGCAAGGAAGGTGAGATACACACACAGAAGCGAACTGTGGAGGACCTGAAAAGAGAATTTGCACTGAGAGGGTGGAGCAGCAGCAGCAGTAGGAGATGATTTTAGCAGCAGTAGTATGCTAAAGAGGCTGAAGGAGGGGCTGGGCTGGGAAGCCCTTTGGCCTATCAATTCTGACATCTTTCACTGATGTTTAATGTCACATAATCTTTTTTTCCAGTTTCCACCCATTTACCACTTCCTAGAGGCTTCAATGGCTAGTTGTTTAGAAACCTTTAGGAAAAAAGTTCTTCCATTTCAGAAACCAAAGCACTCAATGTCACATGCAGGAAACTGTGGGATTTAGTCATATCTAAAGATAATAGGGTCACAAGTTTTTCTATATTTACTGCTAAAGCTGTGAAGGGAAACGCTGATTTGCAGGTTCCTATTCAGCCCCATGTGCTCTGATGACCTGCACTGGCAGAGACTGACAAATAGTAAGTGGCTGTTGTTCCACCTAGGGGAACATGGTAATTGCTGGCATGCAATAAAGTGTGTTCAAGCAGTGCTGCTAACACACCTTGAGACAGAGGTCTGTAAATAACATACATGCACCACCTTTCAAATCAAAGTGCTTTGCAAAAATTAATTAAAAAAAATACTCCAGCTCTGGGTGATAGGATTTGTGACATCCCTTTTGCAGATGGGCAACCCAGAGTGTAGAGCAGAGGTTGTCAACCTTTCTAGACCCAAGGAGCACCTCAGAAAATGCCAACTCTTAAATTTTCACTTGGTTTTTGAGTGCAGAAAAATACTTGAGCAATTCTTCTGTGGCAAAGAGCTCAGCAAGCCCACAGCAGAGCAGAATGCTTTTCATGCTACAGATTCCTATTTAAAATCTCTAGGTTTATCTTGGAAATCACGCTTGCATTCCTTACAGTGCTGACATTGCATGGCACCCTCTGGCATCCCATGAAAGGATCTCCAGGCACCTTGGCTGAGAATCACTGTGCAGATCACTGGTTCTCAACCACGTTAGACTCACGGCGCCCCTCCATAACTTTCCTGAACGTAGCAGCACCCTATTTGAAAAACTAATTTCACTTCTTTTTAATGACAGGAAAAAGAAACGCTGTAATAAAGCACCATGTCTGCTGCCAGGAGCTTAGAAGCAGCATTGCGGGGCAGAACAGGCATGATACACTGGATTTCCCAGTGGAAATCTCCAGGTTTATTTGGGTGTTGGTCTAAGGACAAAGGCAAACAAGGTCCTTTGAGTAAATGTGATATATTTTATAGTTGGAAGAATTGTCCATTGCAAGCTTTTGGGCACAGGTGCCCTTCCTCAGGCATAGGGAAAGTCTGCTGGTGTTTGTCTACTCTCTAGGGTCAAAGGGAACCTTAAGCCAATATGCAAAATGCAGGTCTGTGAAAATGCAAATGCATGGCAGGGGATGCACGCCAGGTTTATCTGGTGAATCCCATGTAAGTGGCCATGTCTACACAAGATGCTGACTGCACAGCTGTTACTGCACAGTCATTTAGTACTTGCATGCCCAAGTACTAAATGCAGTCATTTAGTACTTGCATGCCCAAGTACGAAATGACTGCTCAGTAAGTGGAGCTACTGCTCAGTAGCGTCCCAACACAGCTTCCTGGTGATGCTGACTGTGTAGTAGCTCGTTACTACTGCACAGTAGTGTCACATAACGGTTTGTGCCATGTGACACTACTGCACAGTAGTAACGAGCTACTGCGCAGTAAGCATCTCATGTAGACACAGCCAGTGTGTATACGCTGCGCAGTACTCATCTTGCCTGCTGCGTTTAAGAGGATCTCAGGGAGTGGGGGGCCCCTGGTTAAGAGTCATGGCAGTAGGGAACCACAGCAGGGCAGAAGGGGTGTGACACACAGAATTCCCATTGAAAATCCCTGGGTTTGTCCGGCAAGCCTCTGCACCCTTCACAGCACTTGTCTCACCTGCCACCCTTAGGAGGATCTCAAAGGAGGGGACACCCCTGGCTGAGAGTCATGGCAGGGGGGAACCACAGCAGGGCAGAACAGGTACGACACACTGGGTTCCTGTGGGAAATCTCTGGGTTTATCTGGTGACCCCCACGTGTTTGCCCACCTTACAGCACCAGTGTCGCCCGACGACTTTCCGACTGTTGGGGAGGGGAAGGGGGGCGGGGTTGAGAATCAGGGCAGTAGCGGATGTCCGCAGGGCAGAACAGTTGTGACACTGTGGGTTCATAGTAGAAAACTCTGGGTTTGTCTGGCGAATCTGGCATAAGTGTTTGCACCCCTATTGCTTCCGATCCTCCCTGCCGTGCATCTGTGTTTTCACAGACCTGCATTTTGCATCTTGGCTTAAGCTTCCATTTCGACCCAGGAGAGAAGGCAAACAGCAGACGACTCCCTGGGCACGTCTACACAAGACGCTTACTGTGTATTGGCCTAGTAACACAGTAGCGTGTCACGGCAAAAATCATGCTAATAGACTACTGCACAATGTTATTAAGCTAACACTCAGTAAGCATCACTAAATCACCATGTGCTGGTGCTACTGTGCAGTAACTCTAGGTACTGCGCATTTAGTTGGTGCTTTATTAAGGACATACTAAACCAAATGCACAGTATCTAAGGAGCAGTAGGGCGTGTCTACACACGTATCTTAAATTTACTGTGCAGTACGTTACTGTACAGTAAGCAGGAATAGACCGGTGTCTACATGTGCAGGCATTGAAGTGCAATAACTCTCTGTAGGATTAAAGTTAGTCCCAAGTCAGTCCACACACAGAGTAATACTGTGCAGCAAGGTGTCTACACGTGCCTTACTGTGTGGTAACTAATTGGGTGTAAATTTGATACCTGTATGATGCAGGTATCAAATTTACATTCAAGTTGGTGTAAGTCACCATAGCTACTGCACAGTACAGGGTTGCACATGTAGGGTGGCAATTGCAGTTACTGTGCAGTAAATGTGCATGCCGAGATGTGCCCTTAATGAATGTGTAGACGCACCCCGGATGCCCCAAAGCTTGCAAAGAACAATTTCCTCAAGGAAATAAAAATTTCCCCTCTGGTCCAGTAAGAGAGATCACATTTCCCCTGGCCTGCCAGGTCTTCAGGGGGCCTGGAGAAACGGACCCTGGCCGAGAGCACGGCGGGAGGGCGCCACACGTGGTTCCTGCGGGAAGCCCACGGGTTTATCTGGTGACTCCCGTGAAGTGGCTGCCCGCTCGGCCACCTTCACAGGGTCGGGGGGGGTGGTCTCGGTGGAGTCAGGGCATGGGGGCGGCAGCGGAGAGAGGGAAGGAACCCGGACCCTGCACCTCCCCCACGACGCGGCGTCTGCCCCTTTAAGCGCCGGTAGCTGAGCCGCGCAGCCAGGGAATCCCTCCTGGAACGCGTCATCCGAACCAAGGAAACCCGCGCTCGCGTAGTCGCACGCACATGCCCATTTTTGGCAACACACGCCAATGGAACGAACCAATCGGAGTGTGGGGGGAGGCACCACACTGAGCACGCGGGGGCGGTTCCTGCTGCCGCCTCCCCCCCGCGGGCGTGGTGCCTCCCGGCTGGGGGGAGGGGGGCCAGCTCCACCCCCCGCGCAGGTGGCGGGGCCGGAGGGTGGTGACGCGCGGCCGCACATGGCGGGGGGGGCGCGTGGCGGGGAAGTCGTGCCCGGCCCGGGCGTGCCTGTGAGCGGGGGG